ATGTCTTAGAGCTATTATCTCTCATGTTTTTCCTTTTAATTAGAATATTCAATTCATTTCCCTATAATACAATTTCTGATATCTTTAGCTTTTACTGCTATCATCTTTTTAATTTTTTAAAAGCTACTTAACCACCTACCTATATTGCTTTTTTCCATCCTTTCTTGTCATTTACCAGATGTCTTTTACTGTGATTATTCCAAGTTCTCTTCACTTACCTTGGCAGTTACAGAGTCTCTCATTATTCTTTCACTTGTTTCCCTAAGTGTATACATAAACTCCTGACTTAACAAATTGCAATACAACTTAGTATTTTTGACCACATCCCACAGTAGACAAGACCTAGGAACACTTACTAAGCTTTCTACCACCAAGCTATCTCTCAACCTTCATGCCTTGTGAATCTGGTATATGAAAACAACTTTCACTGTTTCCTTTAGGTTCAAATTACCAGCTTATTTTTTTTTACTGAAAATACTTTTGGTCTCATCTTCCTTTTAAGGGATATTTTTGTTGGCTAGAGAAGTCTAGATCAGCAGCCATTTAGGGGTCTTTCAATGACTGTCCTTGGTTTCTTCCTTCTTAGTTTTCTCTTTGAGATTGTGTTGAATGTCTTTAAAATTCAGGAATCCCCAAATCACAAGCATTAAAGAAAGATGGTGTTTGTAATTAATGGCTTAACAAAATTATATCATGTATTATATAATAATCTGTAATGGATATTTGAGTTATTACATGCTGAGAAAATTTTTAATTGAATATATAGATGAATATGAACAAAGTATTAAGATTCATCTCTTTAATTTATTTTAAATAATACACTATAAATATTCTCTACATATTTTGCAAAAAACATGTACCCCTATTTGATCAAATATTTTTCTGGTCTCTAACTAAATTGGAACATGCTGTTTCATACTGAAATTAGTATGTCATTTCCCATCTCCTCCCTGAAGTTGGGAGATCACTTGGTTGTCTGAGGCTGGACATGGTCGGTCAAGGTGACTATGAAAACTCCAAGGAAATGAATTCAGAAGGTTCAGAGTGATTGCCTTTGGGGGAAATTGCAGAGTTGTGCTGAAGTTGGAGAGAAACGGAGCAGAAGCACAAAGGGTTCCGCATCAGGTTCTGGTGTTCGGCATTACATTTTGCACAGTGTGTCTCTCAGATTCCCATTGCAGCTAGCAGATCTAATTTAAAAACACATTATTTCTATGCTTTTCTTTGTAGATGCAATTAGCATTCTTATGAGTGGAACCGCCAAACGATAAATTCTTCAACTGCTAATGACTTCCCCAGGCTTCTGATCCTTTGCCATGTAAAAGTTCTGAAATACAAAAATATAATGGCATGTGCTCATCTGTTCCCAATCCTAAGGCTTTTCTCCCTGTGAAAACAGCTTCCAGTGTGGAAAGCCAGCTACTGGGTTTCACTTCTGCTACCATGACAGGCACCCTGACCAAAAACAAATTTGGAAGAGACAGGGTTTATGTGGCTCACAATTCCAAGTTACAGCCTATCACCAAGGGAAATCAAGGCAGGAGCTTAAAAGCAAGCCTATTTGTTATTCCATACAGCATAACCACTGACCAAGGAACTCACTTCACAGCCAAAGAAGAGGGATATGAACCTGCTTGTTGGCTGGCAGCCTATACTCAGCTAGTTTTCCAACCTGCCTAGGGAATGGGGCTTCCCACAGTGGACTGGTCACCTAATAATCAAAACAATCCCCCATAGACCTGCCCACAAGCCAGTCTGATCTAGGCAATTCCTTTATTGAGAGTCTCTTCCCAAGTAATCCTAGGTTGTATCAAGTTGATAGTTAAAGCTAAACAGACAATGCTTATGTAAACTCTGAAAACCTTCAAAGAAATATTTCATATTGTTTGTAGATGCTTGACTTACCTAACAACAGAACAAAATGTAGACCAGGAAGATACATTTCAGTTCTGGGATGGTGGGTACCTAGAAATGTATTATAAGGGTTGTTAAATTATATTTATAATATTTGATTTCAACTATAAAACAGATATGAGCATGGTGTGCTCTTCATGACTATTGTAGAGTCTGTTATTTTATCTTTGACCTTTTTTATAAATATAAATAAAATTATTTACATATGTAAAGAGCAATAGGTTTCAACATTTTAAAATAAATACAAGGTCTTCATGTCATCCTTGTTTTTTAACACCACTCAATGCAAGCCAGTAGGAAGTAAGGAAAAGAAATGTAGTTCAGCATATATATACATTTGGTAATGCAGTTCAGTGTATATATACATTTGGTAAAGCAGGAATGCCTATCTCTGGCCAAACCATGTCAGACAGAATAACATCTTCAGAAAATCCTCCACACATGTGTTTCTTCCTAACTGAGCACTTTCCAGCAACAGCTTTGGGCTCAGAGTTATGCTCTGTCAAGTACTGCTGTTAGGTACAGCAGCTAGAATGTACCCCCAGAGGACCATGGAGCCCTCTCAATCTGAATATAAGATGCCCCATAGCAACATTCAGACTTCATTTCTTTTTCCAATGATAAATTTAATCAATCATCATTTAAGCTCATAGTTTCTTTTTAAGATTTATTTTAATTTTGAATGAAGTGTTTGAATGTGTCTGTGTGGGGTACAGCAACCTGAAGAATCCAGAAGAGGGTATTAGATGCCCTGGAACTAGAGTTGTAAGTTGTGAGCTGACCAGCATGGGCTCTGGGAGTGAGCTCAGGTCTTCTGCCCTAGTAGCACATGCCCTTAACTGTGGAAACATATCTCCAACTCCAATGTGAGAGTTTTTGTAGGAAGCTTTATAAGTGAGTCAAAGAAAGGGAGCTGTTTGAACAACTCTACAAAATAATATGCAGCTGAGCAGAATGGTGCAAAGTCTTCATGCTATTGTGTATTGCTGCGTCATCTTCATGTTCATGCTATTCTGTATTGCAGTGCCATAGTCATTGCACCGTATCACTTGGACAAACAAGCTTTGGACATTCTGGGCACCTTACAGAGAATGGAAGCAAACTGCTATCTTGGTCAATAATAGATTAACATTGAAAACAGTTATAGAAAAGTAGTGATAGTTCTGGAACTCTCCATGCAGACCATCCTTCTGTAACACCATCAGGAAAACAAAACAATGCTGTTCTGACCCTCTCTTCTATCTTCTCTTCTCTGCCCATTTCCAGACTTCCTGCGATGGGCTAATGGATTACACCTGTATAGTAACCAGAGAGTGATTTTCTTGCTCCCACAATTCCTGGAGATGACCACAGCTGTTCTTAGGAATCCTTTACAAATGCCAACTAAGTGACTCCACTTTGCATTTTCAGGATTCTAAAGGGGTCTTGAAGTGTGAGCCAATGTCTGGTGCATCCCCACACTGGCACATTAAATCTTTCATGCATCAAAAAGTTCTGCAATGTACGGTGTGTTTGAAGCTCCAAGATCATATGCCTCTGGTACAGATGGCTTTTCCAAGTGTGGCTCCCAAGCCATTGCATAAGCTATGTTTAAAATGCACATTGTCAATGTTCTCTAGACCCTCTGAATGGCCCACAAACCTGTCCTGTGATAATGATGCTTGCTGAGGTTGAAGAACAACTTATTACTTCCAATGCTGGCCAAGTTGGAGGGGATAAGGTACGCTCTGAGGAGTATGGATTCTGGAGCCAGACATTTTGGCTTCAAACTCCAGGTTTCCCATTAGCTTTGGACTATATGCTATAAGTTCTTCAACTTTTTGCCTGTTCCCTTATCTGTACAGGGAAGTTCATGGCAGTATACCTTTGTTAATGACACAACCTAGAATCACCTGGCAAGAGTCTCAATGAGAGATTATCTACATGGGATAATCTGTGGTCCTATCTGTGTGGAACTGTCTTAAGTAAATTAACTGATATGGGAAGACCCATCCCACTGTAAGTGGCATCATTCCCTAGACATAGAGTCTTGAGCACATCAAGCAAGCATGTGAATACAAATGCATTCATTTCTCTCTGCTCTTGATTGTAGATGTGCTTCCATACAGCAGTGGATTGTAACTTAGAACTGCAAGCTGAAATAAATCCCTTTCTACTCTGAGAGTGTTTCATCACAGCAACAGAAGGGAATCTAAAACACCTGCCCATAGGATGCTTTGTGAGGATGTAACGAACTGTTTCAGTATCCCTTAGCTAGGTTCTACTAGCCAAGAAACAGCCCCCCAAAAGGGAAGACCCAGCCCAAGGTCTGGCTGAGGTTAACCTCTTTTCTCCATTCTCAGGCCCCACAATCTCACCTGTAGAATGGATCATTCCACTCTAACAACTTATACCACTGAGCTAGTGTAGAGAGAACCAGTGTAATGTACATAAGAACAAGGTGATTAGCCACACTCATGGGCTTGGTGGCATTAGTGTACCTCATTAATTGTGAGGCAGACCCATGATCCATCTGTTTTTGTTTCCTTCCGTCTGCTAAGCCTCCAACCTGCTCTGTAAAGAGCACTTGATTCATACTGAAAGCAGCTGCCAGTGTTCCGCTGGTTATTGTGTTAGTGTCTTAGGTAGTAAGGCTTTCAATATCAGATGTTCTCTCTCCTTCACAGTGACATCATTCTCACTAAATAAACATTGTTTTTTCCACAGTGGTTTCCATCTGACTTAAAAATATATTCCAGTTATCTGTCTTGTGGCTTCCCTACACTCTGTAGGGTGACTACACTGAAGGAAGACAACAATAATAGCCATTATTCAGTCACTCTTGGGAACAAAGGGCCATGCTAAGGCTCCACACAACTTCACTTCACTGGTTTCTCAGACTAAGGCATCAAGCAAGGAATATGTCAATCTCTTTTTTTATTCATTTTATTATTATTTTTCTTTTTACAAAAGTTTATTACAATGTACAACAGACTCCAGTATAACACTCCATTCTAGCTGTAGGTGGCCAAGATGTTATGGCAGGGAATCCAGATGTTTAAATGGGAATGGAAGAGGTTACCATCATCTCAGATATGAGGAACAGCTTACTTTTTGCCAGACTTCATTCCACCTGTGGCCAGGGGTCCCTTTCCCTCAGCCTTGGCTTTTAGCTCCTCGAGTTTCTTCTGCTCCTCTTTTTGTTTCTGCTTGAAAGCCTTATCTTCCTTGTCCATCTCCTTGGCCTGCTTCTTGAACTGTTTCAGGGGCTTCTTTTTGCCACCTTCGAGGCCTGACATGGTGCCCACAGACTGCCTTTCAAACCCCTCCTATATGTCAATCTTACAAATATAAGGAAAGAAGGTCTGAGAGGCTAAGGGACTTGATCAAAGTTTTCAAGCAAGGAAAATCTCCACAATTCTAGAGTTCTTTGTGTGGAGGCACTTTTGTGTGTGTGTGCCTGTGTGTGTGTGTGTGTGTGTGTGTGTGTGTGT